AGGGGACCCCTGGGCCCAGCCCGCGGCGCCCCCGGCCTCCATCCCGCTCCCCGACGGACGGACCAAGAGGGAGCGCGGGTGCTTTCGCTTTCACTTGCGACCGCGCCTTGCCGCCCCACACGGAACTACTCCTGGGTAGTACACCCGCCCACGTACACGCGCACACACACGCACGCACACAGACACACAGCTAAACCTGAGTAGTGCACACACCGGCACACAGCTAAATCTGGGTAGTACACACACAGAGCTAAATCTGGGTACTACACACATGCACCCACACACCCCTAAATCTGGGTAGTACACACATGCACCCACACACCCCTAAATCTGGGTAGTACACACACACACACACCTAAATCTGGGTAGTACACACACACACACAGCTAAATCTGGGTAGTACCCACACAGAGCTAAATCTGAGTAGTACACACATGCACACACACACACACACACACACGCACACACACACACACACACACACACACACACACACACAGAGCTAAATCTAGGTAGTACACATACACATGCACAGCTAAACCTTGGTAGTACACATACATACACAGCTAAACATGGGTACCGCATACACACACAAGCTAGGCTTGGGTGCAGTGAGACATACACGCCTAGACAGAGAAGTAGTGACTAGAAAGGCGCATCATTCTCTTCCCACTAGAAATTTTAAAAAAAAAGTTTAAATGGTAATTAAGCAAATCTGAAAATGATGAACTTCCCCTAGAGACAGGAGTTTAAAAAAAAAAAGTGCTAAAAACATTTAGAAATGGTGCTTTTCTTGCTGGAAATGTCTCCAGGGTTTCCCATGTTACTTGATGTCTCAGGAGTCCACCCAGAGATCCTGGGTTGCTCCAGGAGTCCTGGAAGTAGCTGGCCTGTGAGCTTGGGCTGCCAAGGTGTGTCCAGCCTGGGAGGGTGGGCACTATGGTGTCATATTGACATACATTGGTAAGGCTTCAATATTACTGTCTAATACCTCTGTATATTAAAAATGCCAGCTCTTGTGGGTTTTGTTTGGTGTGGAGGTTTCATTTCAGTCTTTGCTTTCATTTTTCAGTTGCTTTCTTTGCTTTTTTAATTTGAGTTGTCTTAGTCCTTCTCCCTTCTTTGTTCACTCATATTTTATCAAGAGGTCCATGGAGACTTCTCTGTGTACAGTTGGTTTGAGATGTTTTTCATATGCAGTTTTGGTGGCTTTTTTACAGTCCCTACTTTTTCAGACAGTGGAATGCTTACAGAAAACATTTTAATGTTGAAATTAGAACATTTTGTTTACAGAAATGGCCAATTTCCAAAGCATTTTGACAAATTCCACTGTATTTTTTAATAAAGTGAAAAAAATGGTTCCTTACCAAAAAAATATTGAGTGTCTTTTCAAAGTGTTCAAAATTCCTGCAGGGGTATAGATTGTAGTTGTGTTGCTCTAAGGACATAGGCAGACAAGGTTCTTTGGGTAAATCTGATATCTTTTATTAGACCAACTCAATTGAAAGAAGTCTTCTTCGCAAACTTTCAGGTACAAATACCCTTTGTCAGGCAGAGGAAGCATCAGCAGTTGGTCTGCATCCAGGAACAGCACACATCACCTGCAGATGCTTCCTCTGCCTGATGAAGGGTGTTTGTACCTGAAAGCTTGCAAAGAAAAATGTTTCCAACCACAGTATTTGAGCTGCTGTAACAAAAGATATTGAATTGACCCAAAGAACCTTGTTTGCTAAAATTCCTGCATGAATTTGCTTGCATGTCAGCAAAAGAGCTGGTTTCAGAAACAGTCACCACGCAAACAATCTCCACAGGAAAAGCTACTGAGATGTTAGTTCCAGCTATTATTTTAGTCCTTCTCTGGAGGTAAAGACCTTACCACTGCAGGTACAAATGCCGGCTGAAAAACAGATAGGCACACCCCATCCTCAAACAGATGTACAGCAGCAGCAGGTACTTTTGGGGTGTTGCCCAGTTAGTAGGTGCTGGACATCATTCTTGTTACAAGTCACTCCAGGCAACTGTAATACTAAACAATATGAGAATGAGGAAGCTCTGCCTAGTTCTGAAGATCCAAGGCCTTGTTTAAACAAGTTTTATCAAATGAACCAAGGTAACCCTGCTTCCAGTGCCATAGCAATGACGTTTGGCACCTGGGGCAAAGCCTGCAACAGCAGCTCACCCTCACCCCGTGCACAGATCCAGGGGGCACAGGCCCCCCCACCCATGCTTGCCTGGCACTGTGCACAGTAGTGGAAGCCCCCTTCCCTGCACCCCACCAAATGAGCCACTTGCGGTTCTGTCCCACACCCCTCCCAGGCTGGGCACGGCCTGTTGGCACCCATTCCCCTCGGTGCCCAGGGTGGTTGCCCCACTCGCCCTCCCCCGCTCTTGCTATGGCACTGCTTGGGACCAAGGCTTGGGGAGTCTTCAGAAGTCCATTAGCTGCCCCACATTCATTCATCTATTGATTAAAGTAACAACAACAGATCTCCCCAACCTTTAGTGCAGATAAGCCCTTACGGACATTTTTTTGTGTGCGTTTGTTGAACTGTTAACTTTTTTTTTTTCTTATGGCTTCAGCACTGAAGCTTTTCCTCTTGCCCCACTACCTGTACCCTGAAAGTACTTTCTTTTCTGCACCAAGAAACCATGTCTGTCTCTTCTTTTCTGCAAGCAGTTGCAATTATAACCTGTGCCTGGGCTGCAAGACTGCCTGCTGTCATACAGGAAACCCTCACTATTGGCAAGTTTGGCATTCATGATTTCAAATATTCATGAATGCCAAACCTGCTTCTTAAATAAACTTAAAGGAGCTTCTCAGGAGCTCCACGCTTGCCGCCGCAGTGCCTTATCCGTGGATTTTGCCATTTGCAGGGGTCACGAGAACGTATGGCGAGGGTCACCTCTATTAGCAAATGGAAAGTGGGTTGCAAAAAAAATTGCTTTCCTTAATTCAGGGTGAAAAATAATTTGCTCTTTTCTTAATTCAGATCACAATAGAATTTGCTCTTCTTAATTCAGGTCGCGAAATAACTTAGTCTTTCCTTAATTTGGGGTGAAAAATAATTTGCTCCTTCCTTAATTCGGGTCGCAAAACAACTTGCTCTTTCCTTAGTTCGGGGTGAAAAATCATTCGCGCTTTCCAGATTTCGGGTTCCTATTGGGCTGGGTTACTGGAGGACAGGGATTCAGAGGCTGCCCTCCGCTGCACGGCAGGACGCTGGTATAGCCCTCGTGTAGCTGAAAGCCACATTTGCCCCTTCGTATTGAGGATGGAGAAGAGTGCCCCTGCCCCGCGGGGCGGGCTGACGGCGAGCCCCGCGCCTCCGCCGGCGGATCCGGTGAAAGTGAAACCGGGCGGGGAGCAGTCGGTGGCAATGGAGGATGCCCATGTGCGGAGGGTGGGGGCCGACGGGACCCACTCGCCGCCCGGGTCCCCATTGCAGGCATGTGCGCCTCCTGGGAGCACCCCGCTGCTCTCTGACTGCAGCAGCGTGCCCAGCCCGCTTGCCCGGAGCATCTTCCACCGCTGCATATCTGCCCCATCCGGTAAGCCCCTGCTCCAGGGCAGAGCACAGAGGGGCTGCCTGGCCCCTGGGAGGCAGGCCTTGCTCAGGGGGTGGATTTGCAACAGGGCTGGACAGAAAAGGAAAGGGGATTTGTTGGGGGGGAGAAGGAGAAAAAAGTTTTGAGAGAGGAAGAAGGAAGAGGCTGAAGGGTGGGTTTGTAGGACAAGAGTGGTGGGTGATGGTGTTTGAGAGACTCCTGCAAAGGGTTACCAACTCTGGGGAGTTTTCATTACATGATGCAACGACATTAATGGCTGCTGGACCATACTGTACTCAGGAAAGCAAATGCACATTACTATTACATTTTCAAAACCCCCTGGACTACCATATAAATTGGGTTTAACATTTAATATGTACTTCATTTATCTCCCAGGTGACTCAGCAGTCTCCTGGAGATTTATAT